GCTTGTTCTCGGTCTTGCAGCTCTTCTGATGTCTGAGGTGGAGTATCCATTGGCCTGTAGAGCCCAGTTGAGGTGGTTCAGTTCATCTTGAAGGAGGTGGGGTTCACAGATCATTTTCACACTGTCTGCCAAGGCTTTAATGGTGCTTCTTTTTTGACGGGTGATGGTTGGAGTTTTTATGTAGATATCTATCTGTGTATGGGGTTTTTCTGTAAACACTAAACAATATAAAACACCACAAAAGCCATAAAAACAACATCATTAGCATCTCATTATTATCAAGCATTGTCCAGTTCCATTGTCAAATTGTTCGATTTCCTATATTAGCTACTCTGCATTTGTAAATGCTTGCTCGAACAGCCATGTTTTAACTTGCCTCTGAAACGTTAAGAGGGAGGGAGCAGATCTAATCTCCCTAGGGAGGGTGTTACATAGCCGAGGGGTCACCACTGAGAAGGCCCTGTCTCTCGTCCCCGCCAAAAGTTCTTGCGACAAAGGCGAGACCGAGAGCAGGGCCTCCCCAGACTATCTTAGAGTCCTCAATGGTTCGTAAGGGGAGACACGTTTGGACAGGTAAGTTGGGCCAGAACTGTTTAGGGCTTTATAGGCCAAAGCCAGCACTTTGAATTGGGCCCGGTAGCAAACTGGCAGCCAGTGGAGCTGGCTCAACAAAGGGGTTGTATGTTCCCTGAGTGCTGCTCCTGTTAGCAACCTGGCTGCTGTTCGTTGGCCTAGTTGGAGCTTCCGGACCGTCTTCAAAGGCAACCCTGCGTAGAGAGCGTTGCAGTAGTCTATACGGGATGTAACCAAAGCGTGGACAACCGTGGCCAAGACAGACATCCCAAGGTACAGGCGCAGCTGGTGCACAAGTTTTAACTATGCAAATGTTCCCCTGGTCACCGCCGAAACCTGAGGTTCCAGCCTCAGCGATGAATCCAGGATCACACCCAAGCTGCGAACCCGCGTCTTCAGGGGGAGTATAACCCCATCCAACACAGGCTGTAACCCTATGCTATTGCTGCTCGTGCAACACGGGAACCCTCCTGTGTTGTTGCCGCAGTGGTATATGTTGGTTCTGCAATAGTTTGGCCACAGAGCCCTGCCAGAAGTAGTATTATGCCGTGGGATGGGAGCTGGCAGGCTTTGTGGCTGGAATAACACTGAACTAGGTGTATGCCACTGAAACAAGCCCCGTTTGATGAAGTCGTAGGTAACACTCAAATGATGCAAAATGGAAATTGGGGTTGTGCCTTTGAATCCCCCAGAGAGACAAGATGGATAAAATTTATCTCACCTGTTTTACACTCCACATTTTCATCTTGTGTCCTCCCTCTGAGTACATCTGAAGTTCTTATGACAACAGGCAAAGGTTGCATAAAGGACTTGTGCTATTGGCAGTTTAATGCAAACATCTCAGTCTCTGTGTATGAAGACATAATGCATCTGTATTGATTTAACAATAATGCCATCAAGATTAAATTGAGAAAGACTGGAGCTGCAGAAGGCAAGGAATGTGAAGAATCGAGAGGGACCTCGCCATTGAAAATGGGATGAGGTGACTAGAACAAATAAGACACAGCACTTCCTTCAAAATCTGGGGTGAAAGTAATGCACTCCTCCAAATTTTACAAGTTAGGACCTCCCAGTAACATTAGCCAAAGTAGACTAGATGAGAAACGATGGATGCTGTAGTCCAATGCTTTTTGGGGACCTACCTGATTCCCGTTCCATTGCCAAAGTAAAACCAAAGCACTTCACACAGTAAATATAAACCAAGGATGGGAAGTACACAACCTGAGGACTGCATAGACCCACCAAACTTAGTTTTGCAGCCTCAGCATTAGACTGCATATCTGCACATCAATGTGAACATGTATGTTTCTGGTATTTTGATTCTGTTGGCCCTCCATCTGCAATCAAATGCCTAGTGACTTCATACAGATTGTATCTGAGATGAAATCCATGGTCGGTCCCCAGGATACACACTTAGTCCCCAGACCCATGGAGTTTGCCCATCCCAGGACAATGCGTGTAAGAAACTAATCTCAAAAAATATAATACTAGGTCCAGACTGAGTCATATTTTGAGTAACTGTGGCTGACTAAGTGTTGCAATAATCCATATGGGAATTTACCAAAGAGCATGACTAATTGTCTCAAGGTCATTTCTCCCAGCCATAGCCATTTTTTTTCGTGTCAGGAGCGACTTGAGAAATTGCAAGTCACTTCTGGTGTGAGAGAATTGGCCATCTGCAAGGACATTGCCCAGGGGACACCCAGATGATTGATGTTTTACCATCGTTGTAGGAGGCTTCTCTCATGTCCCCACATGGGGAGCCAGAGCTGACAGAGGGTGTTCATCTGCGCTCTCCTCGGATTCAAACCTCTGACCTGTCGATCTTCAGTCCTGCTGGCATAAGGGTTTAACCCATTGTGCCACTGAGGGCTCCAGACATAGCCATAATTAGTATATATGATTTGGGGCAGTGGGACAGTTTGGACAGTGGGACAGTTTGGACGGGGGGCAAACTGTGGGAATACCCACCCCTCCCCCCCAGACCCCTTAGAACAGTAGTAAAATCTTACCTATCCTCCATTAGAAGCCTTGGATGGCTCTCCAGGTGCATAGAAATGACGCACCAGGAGAGGAGGGGGAGGAGGGAGGAAAATTGCCACGAGAGCTGGCTGAGGCTTCTAATGGATGATAGGTAACTTTTTACTACTAGGTGTAGTTTGGACAGCAGATCCAAATTACACCTAGTAGTAAAAAGTTACCTACACCTTCCACCCCAATTCAAGAGTAGCGTGGGGGGGGGGGGGTGCCATGCGTCATGTGATGGCGCATGGCAGGCTCCATCCTTGCTACACAAGAAAACTGCAAAATGGGGCACAAATGCCCCATGTGAAGAGGTGGAAAGACCTTATCATATTTATGAAGGGCAGCAGGGTGATTTGCAAGTCTCTGTGGCAAATCCATGGGGCAGGGGGGCAATCCCCACCATGTCCTCAGGTGGCCCACCACATCCCCAGGCTGAGAGGACAGGCAGACACATGGCTGCTGATAGTGTTCTGGAGGGCTTTCAGCTGCTGCGTGTTATTCCGAAAGGACAGGAAGGCATGCAACTGGAGAGCTCTCAAGAGCTACATGTCTGCCTCCCTCATCCTTTCGGCATAAGCATGTGTCAGGTCACTACATACTTTAAGTGAGAGGACAGGGAAAAAGGAAGACCACAGGAAAGTGCCCACTGGCATTCATCTGGCTCGTAGGGCCTCGCTTTGCCAATACCTGATCTATATACAGGCAGTTTCCAAGTTACAAACAATATAGGTTCTGTAGGTTTATTTCTAAATTGAATTCGTATGTAAGTTGGAACAGGTACATTTGTGAAGTGTAACTTCACATGCACACACACATATCAGCCTTGGAAAGCATAGGGAACCACCCCTGTGGTTGTTGTTTTTTCTGTTTGCTCCTGTTCAGAAGAGTTCACCTAAATTTCAGTGGCTTAAACCTGTGCCAGCAGGACTGAAGGTCGCAGGTTCAAATCTGGGAAGATGAGCTCCCTCTATCAGCTCCAGCTCCTCATGCAGGGACATGAGAGAAGCCTCTCACAAGGATGATAAAACATCAAAACATCCGGACATCCCCTGGGCAATGTCCTTGCAGACGGCCTTGCAGACACCAGAAGCAACTTGCAGTTTCTCAAGTCGCTCCTGACACACACACAAAAAAACAAAAAATCTAAATTTCTGTCCCTGTGATCATTGGATTTTGAAAAATGGGGCTTGTTGTGGAAACAAGGATTGGACAGTCCCTCGATGGACTGTCACCTTGTCGTAGTGAGGGGCCTTGCATGTTCCGATGAACCTGTGGGCACAACAACTGGAGTCGTGCACTCCCAGGAGTGGCCGCCAGGGAGGTTCCAGACCAAGCACAGTCTGAAGACCCAAAGACCTGAACGGTGAAGCAGGCAGAGGATAACATGGTACATGTTACAATGGCTGTGAAGGAGGAAGAAGGCTGCAACAGATTGAGAAGCCACGGTCATCTTGGTAAACTATGCCACCCGAGGAACCTCACTCTGTGAAGATTGTGTGTGGATCAGTGTGCACTGACCTCCACACATTAAAAATATTCACGCACAGGCATCTGAATGTTGGTGGGCAGGAAAAGAGATTTAAAGATGGGCTCAAAGCCAACCTTAAAACCTCTGGCATAGACACTGAGAACTGGGAAGCCCTGGCCCTTGAGCGCTCCAGCTGGAGGTCAGCTGTGACCAGCAGTGCTGCAGAATTTGAAGAGGCATGATTGGGGGGCAAAAGAGAGAAATGTGCCAAGAGGAAAGTACGTCAAACCAACCCCGACCGGGACCGCCTTCCACCTGGAAGCCAATGCCCTCGCTGTGGGAGAAGATGCAGATCAAGAATAGAGCTCCATAGTCACCTATGGACCTACCTTGGAGGATTATCCTACTCGGACAATGAGGGATCGCCTAAGTAAGTAAGTAAGTTATGGAAACAAGGATTGGTGATAAAGCTTCAGTGGAGACACCTTTTCCCCATGATAACTATGAGTCATTTGTAAGTCGGATGCTTTTAACTCAAGGGTTATTTGCCCTTGATTATTTATTGTTCAAATGGATATTGAAGGGCTTTGTGGACTGGGCTGAGAACATGGGAGATTCAGTTCATGTCTCTACTGAATCATGTAGCTCCTAGAATGAACATGAGCCAGTCTCTCTCTCTCTCTCTCTCTCTTTTCCCACCACCCCTTCTCTCTCAGCCTGAACTATCTCATAAAGTTGTTATGAAATAAAATGGAGAGGTTGAATTTATGTTCACTGCCTCGAGCACAGTGATGGAAAGGCAGAATATAAATCTACTAATGTTGATTTAATTTATTTCTCCAGTGTTTTGACAGAGAAAATTGATGCACTGTGTGATTTTTGCTATGTGTTAATAAGAAAGTAATAAACTCAGTTTCTTTGTGTTCCTTTCCAGGTTTTCACCAGCAATATTCATCTATCTGATTAGCATTGTACCATCATTGTGGCTTTTGGAGCTTCATCCTGAGATTCAGGTATTTTTCCTTTTTTTTTTTTTTTTTTTTTTTACAATTGGGTTGAATACAGAGCTGATGTTAACCAAATTGCTTCAAGCAGGAAATGCAGAGCACTATCAATGGACAGGAAATTGGCTAATTGTTGAATTTTAATTCCAGAGAAAGGATGTCATTTAGATTTCCAACCTGAGGCATCAAACCTTTTTTGGATCAGCCCTAGATGTCGTTGAGGGCATCCCAGACCCCTGCCTTCAAGCTGGTTTGACCAGCAGCAGGGAGGTCCACAGTTCCTGGATGCCAAATTGGGCCAAACTGTTGAAATTTGCCCCAGCAGCATGCTCAACTCTACACAGCCGTATGCTCTCTCCTTTCACTCCCTTGCTAGCCCCAACTTTGTAACAAATCCCTAAATAAAGATTGATCAAATTGCAACTTTTTAAACTCTCTAGCTTGATACTTTGTATCCCTTTCTTGCCTGAAACTATCTAAAAGCTTGAAACTAACATTTTCCAGGCCGCGGGAGACTGCAGGCCTGCCCGGAATGCCTTCCTGGCGTTCCGGGGAGGCTGAATCTGCGCTCCGCCAAACCGCGGATACAGAAACCCCCAGGGGGCCCTGTATCCGTGAGATGGCAAATCGCCTCCATTTTGATGGCATATTTTTCCTGGCTAAATTCTAACACTATCTGCTATCTCACTTTTTGCATTTCGGGTTTCTACGCTCGGGGAATAACCTTTTAAGTTTTAAGAATATAATCTCAAGGAAACAGCTGATTGTCAAAAGACCGGTCTCGCTGTAACCACATACTTTGTAGACGAATGATTGCTACATTGCATCCTTTTCAGCTGAATAGCTAATAAAAACACCTCGGTGCCGCTTCTTCAACTTTGGTGAGATTTCTTTCGGATTTTTAAGAAAATAAAATTGCTGAAAATCAGGCTTCTCTTAGCTCGCCAAAGTAGCGATCCCTCTTTGGTGGGGTCCCAGGGCCAGACTCTCCTAAAGTTCTTATCAACTTCATAGGCACAGAACATTTACATTTGTATGTGTACTTGACTCGCCTTTAAGAAACCAAGAATAAAAATATGAAAGTGGTCGCTTATTAGGCTGGTGCAGAAAAGTCATAGCCTGTCATAAGTTATAAGAAATCTTTTAGCTTTGTACTTACAATGAGATATCAGATGCACACCCAAAACTTTAGAGTCGAAACTTACCCAATACATTTTCATTTCTATTTTGTCAGTCTCGGAAGGCTCATTCCCAAAGTCAGATTGATCTTCATTTTAATGGCAAGCAAGCAATGCAAAGCCAAAAACCTCCCATTCCTTTGTAAATTAATGGCCTCTCACCATTAGGAGCAGGAAAGGAGGGAGCAGAGTTTGCTGGGAAAAGCACCAAACTCTGGAAAATGTAGGGAGTGGTCCTATGCCAGAGAATTCAAAAAGCCCTGCCCTAAACTACATTTCCCATAATGCATCAGCATCAGAAAGTACCAATCAAGATAAGGGGGGAGAGAGATATTCCCCTGCGTACCCAGCCAGAGTTGGAATAAATGCAGGAGGGACATTACGCTATAGCACATTTTACTATAGCATTGTTGAGTCTCTACCAATTTAACATGGTTTGTGCCACAAAAATAAAGTTTCTGGAGTAGAACAACTGCTTTCAATGTAAGAACTACACCATTAAACAAGAAATAATATTTTCAAACTAGTAACATATTTCTATTATTCAGAAGTTTGATGGCCATCTGTCAGGTTTGTTCCTGGGTTATAAATTTATTTTCTATTATAAAAATATGGAGAAAGTTTATTAAACTGCAAAAACTTTGTCTTTGTAGGAGGGACATCATGCTATAGCAAATTTTGCAAAATCGTGGAGGGGAGTGAATAATTTTTTATGGTGTTTCCAAAATTATGGGCCTAATTTTTTTATATAACTATAATGAAGTAGCTCTTTTTTGTTACTTTTTTGGTTAAGTAATTGAGCAAGTGGGGAAACTTCAGGGGCTCATTTCTCCCTAATTTTAGAGCTATCGTGATGAAACTTGCTATAATTGTATCACACATTTTCCACTGTTGGCCCACCAAGTTTCAGAATGTTACACTCATCCACTAATATTTGGGGAAATTTTGATATTTTTTTTACAAACAATATATTTTTTAAAAAACTACAAGGACTATCTATTTGGATTTTATATGCAATACACAAGCTAACCAGGGCATCAATCGCCCCAAGTTTCAGAAAGTTCCACACATCAACTGATTTTTGCGGATTTTTAAAAGTTTAGACAAAAACCTTTATCCCCCCAAAAGCCATAACAGCAATCCCCCTGAATGTCTGTCTAACGGTGTGTCTATATCACAGCCCCATTGGTGTTGTCTGATGCTGAGCACTGCATTCTGGGAAATGTAGTTTAGGGCAGGGTCTTTTGAATTCTCTGTCACAGGGGGGCTCGCCTTCCCAAACTACATTTCCCAGAATGCTATGTTCTCGGTCTCCTGCCCAGATCAGTTAGTTCCACCCCAGCTGCCTTTCCTTAGGACCATGATGGCGAGCCTATGACATGCATATCAGCACTGACACACGTAGACATTTTTGATGACACGCGGCTGCATGCCACTGCATACAGAGAAGTTTGGGTCTGCATCCCAAGAAGGACATTTCATCCTTGGCTCCTGCATGGCCAAGTTCAGAAGCCAAGGATAAAACATTTGCAGTAGTTTAGCGTCTAGTTGTGGAACTTCCAGTTAGGCCGTTAGGGAATCTTTGGCCTCACTTCCGGCCGGGGTAGCAGGGAGCAGCGGAATGCCATGGGGGACACATCTCTGGGGGCCCTGTGATCTCCATCACCAGCAACCACATAATCATAGCAACCATCATCCAATTTACTATTCTGGGGTGTTGTGGATTTCTAAGTGACCATTATTACTGAGAAAAGTGAGGGGAGGAGGGAGCTGGGAGAGGCGAGAGTCTGAGTTATGGGTGCAATTTCCCGCCATATATTATTACTAGCTGTACCCGCCACGCGTTGCTGTGGCCAACCTTTCCCCTATCTCCCCTTCTTTCCCTCCTTCCTTCACTCCCTGTTTCCTTCCTTCCTTCCCGTCTTTCCTTCTCTCCTTCCTTCCTTCTCTATTGCTTTCCTTCCTTCCCCCTTTTTCTTTCTCTTCTGCTGTCTCTGTTTTCTTCCTTCTCTCTTTCCTCCTTTCTTTCCCTCCCTCTTTCTCTACATCTTATCCCCTTCCTTCGCTCCCTTTCCTTCCTTCTTCCTTTTTCTCTTCTGCAGTCTCTTTTTCTTCCTTCTCTTTTTCCTTCCTCCCTCTTTCTCTACCTTCCCCTTCCTTCGCTCCTTCTTCCTTCCTTCTTCCCTTTTTTCTTTCCTTCTCTCCTTCCTTCTTTCTCTAACTTTCCTTCCTCCCCCTTTTTCTTTCCCTCCCTCTTTCTCTCCTTTCTTCCTTTTCTCCCTCATTCCTTCCTTCCTTCTTTCTTTCCTTCCCTCTTTCTCTCCTTTCTTCCTTGACACATTAGAAGGGGGCGTGGCTTGGAGGTAGCGTGAGAAGGGTAAGAGGGAGGAGGGGAGGGGGGATGAGTTTAGAAGGGGTGCCGCGCCAAGGGGGTGAGGGGGGGCGCGCGCGCGTGTGTGTGTGCCGCGCGGGGGGGTGAGGGGGCGCGCGTGCGCGCGTGTGTGTTTGCCGCGCCGGGGGGGAGGGTGAGGGGCCATGTGTGCGCGCGCGTCGGGGAGTTTGCGCCAGTGCGCATGCTCAGTTGTTTTGCCGTTTTTTGTGGTTGTTGTTGTGTGGTTTTGATTTCTGAGTGGATTAGTTTGTACCTAGTGGGTTGTCCTTGGGGCATGGCAATTTTGGTAGAGTTTTGTGGAGGGGTTTCAGAGTTTTGCTTCCCCATTGGACGCCAGTAGGAAATTTATATATATAGATTATTATTATTATTATTATTATTATTATTACACATTTTTGTTATTTAAACTGTAAATATCGCAAAATTATAGGATGTTTTTTTTTCTCGAAGTGACACCCCACCCAAGTTATGCTTGCTTTTTGGTGAACTTTGACACACCAAGCTCAAAAGGTTGCCCATCACTGCCTTAGGGTGACCAGCAAGCAGCCTGGGTCTTAATTTAAACACTAGCAGTGGTCTCTTTGGCTTTACCAAAGTTGCTTAATGTTTATACTGAAAATTAAACTGTCTTTGGGGGACTTCAGAATGTTATAGAATTTTAACTAAGATTATTGGTGAGCGTTTTGATTCTTTATTTTTTTCCTCCCTCTTTCCTGCATATTTCTTAATAGCGAATTGTTTACATTAATCTAATGAGTTACTAATGACTCACAAGGACTAACAATAGTTTTACACAGCCCTAGTACCTACATTTGAATGGCACCAGCTTTTGTTTGTGAGGTTGGAGGACAGAGCATTTTTCACACGACACACCTAAGGACTGGAGCCCTTGGTGGCGCAGTGGGTTAAACCCCTATGCCGGCAGGACAGGTCGCTAGTTCGAATCCGGGGAGAGGCAGATGAGCTCCCTCTGTCAGCTCCAGCTCCTCATGCAGGGACATGAGAGAAGCCTCCCACAAGGATGATAAAACATCAAATCATCCGGGTGTCCCCTGGGCAACGTCCTTGCAGACGGCCAATTCTCTCACAATAGGAGCAACTTGCAGTTTCTCAGGTCGCTCCTGACACGACAAAAAAACCCCTAAGGACTAAATGTAACACACTAGTGTGTCTTGACATACAGTTTAGAAAGCTCAGTAGACACATGAATGACCATAAGAAGGTGCTTATCAGTGTATCAAATAGCAAATAAGATTTTTTTCTGCTACATCCCACTAAAGAATATGGTCAGATGCCTCCTCCAACCACTGATTTTAGAGACAGGCCTCCCATTTCATGCAGAATGAATTAAAATGTTTACCAAACTGGAAAGGCATTTGTGGCTAAGCTGTACCATGTCATTGAAACTGTAATCCATCTCTCAATTGCATGCTAGACTTCACCAGGAAATTTTCATACAGCATCGCTTGTTAGAATCCCATTAAAAATGACAATTTGTGTTTCATTTACATTTCTTCTTTTCCTGCTTTATTACATGCGGACAGCTATGATTACATTAATGTTGTTTCCCTTGCTCGTCGTCATGGCTCATTTACACTTTACATCCAATGTGGCAGTCAAATTGTAGTACATAATTGTGTGACATTACGTTAATGTTTGGACCGATACACCAAAGACACACAAACATAAAAATTACGGTATTATCTAATAGTTGTTTATTTAGGAATGGGTTCTGATATGCTTAGTGGGACTTCTCCTCAGGTAAATATGTGCAGGATTAAAGCCAATTAATGCAATTATTTGTATTCAGGAACAAGTATATCAAGTGATATTTATTTATTTCTATTCTATCTTTTTGCTGGAGTGGCATCAATTAAAAGCCAACAATACAAGAATTAAAAATAATTACATTAATCAGATAAAATTATCTTAAAAGTACATAAAAGCACACACTGTAATAGCAAGCCTCTCTGGGCATATATACACTGACCAGATAGCATAAAGAGCTGGCAAATCTGTTCCATGGTGGCTAAACAGCGCACTGAGCTGGACTCCGTTAATGCAAGCATGACCGCATCTACGTATACGAACCCACACGATCTCTTCGTTCATCTGGTGAGGCCTTGCTCACGATCCCACCGGCATCGCAAGAGCGATTGGTGGGAACGAGGGACAGGGCCTTCTCGGTGGTGGCCCCACGACTCTGGAACTCCCTCCCCAAGGACATCAGGCACTCCCCAACACTGGCAGTCTTCAGAAGGAGCTTGAAAACATGGATGTTCCAGTGTGCCTTCCCAGATTAAGGAATCCCAAGCAATGTCCCTAATGCACTTTATGAGAGAGTTAGAATTGTCTGCACACCCTCTTATTTCCAAAATATTCATTCTATCTCACCTGGACATGCCCAGCATTTTTAGAATTTTAACCATTACATTTGGCCCTGCCACAGGTTTCTAATAGTGTCGTGTTTTTGTTAATGTTCTGCTTTGTTATGAGTTATTTATTTTTGCATTGTATTGTTGTTGTTGTGTTTTTGCTAATGATGTACTTTGGGCTCGGCCTCTTGTAAGCCGCACCGGGAGATGGTCGCGGGGTACAAATAAAGGTTTATTATTATTATTATTATTATTATTATTATTATTATTATTATTATTAAATCTGCTTAATGCTTGAAGTGCATTAAACAAAGACATGGGTTGCCCCGAATTCTACCCCCAGAACCTGGAGCAAACTCATCTTAGCACCTATGTAAAAAGTTGGGCCAGTTCCAAGATGAAACTGAGCATAATTCTTGACATGGCTCTCACCACCCACGTCTGTGATGCCAACCAGAGCAAAGAGCTAATTGGAGAAAGAAGAGGGAGATTCCTCGACTCTCCCCCTTTCCACATGGCTCTGGCACCCTGGTCAACATCACTTCAGAAGATGAGTGACCAGTACTACCCATGTTGGGCCCACTCACCATCATGATGAGGAGAACAGGATAGGATGGTACAGGTAGCCATCCGGTGTCCCCAAACCAGACTGGGCAGCATTGGATGTTCCGAACTCTTGTCCATCTATACAGCAATAAGGAGATGGTGATCTAACCTATCCTGGGTCAATCCAGCATTTGCTATGCCTGATTAGCCCTGGAATAAGGGTCCATGTAGATCCACCCTTAGAATCAAAGACCTATAAGAGTTCCACAGCAAATACGGTCTGTCTGGAAGGGCCCGTAGACTCATATAATCCAGTTCAAAGCAGACAATGTGGATTATCTGCTTTGATAATCTGGATTAACTGGCAATGTAGTGGGACCCTGAAACAGTCTGTTCCACTGGCTTGTTGTAGGTTTTTTGGCCTGTATGGCCATGTTCTAGAAGCCAGTGGTTCCGGCCATGAAAGCCTTCAACAATAGTCTGTTCCACTGTTGGAGAGCATTCACAGTCAGGATGTTCTTATGATGTATCTCAAGACTAAAAGTTGAAACAGTGGTGCAACTTGTTAGGTGCAAGAAAAGTAGCTTGTTGGTTACATGGACATTACAGTTATTAGGAGGCTGTACATTTTAACATCAGAGAAGTTAGAATAACTACTGGCTCTTAATGCTTACAAATGTATGAATTTGTTCTGTCCTGAAAACTACGGAGATTGGTTTTTCATGCATCACTGCAGATATAGCTGGGGATGTGTCATTATTTTAATGTAAAAAATTGTGGTTTGGGATTTTTCATTGAAGTTGTGAATCTAATTTATTGTATGTTTAAAAATTTATCTGCCATATTATTAATAATAAAAAGACTGAGAAAAAGACCACATTTTATAACTACATTAAAGAGTTGAGTCTACTGTACAACTTTTGTTCACAAAAGAAAGATAAACAGGCATACCTCAGTTAAGAAACAGTCTAATAAAGGAACTCATTTTATATCATCCAGTTCATTCTTTTCCTTCTTGTTATCTATTTAGCTTGAAATTCTTTAGCAAGTCCAGCATGGAAGATGGTGAAGGAAGGCCAGAGAAATTAGCTGAAAAAATGGGATACTGCTTTAGCCAATCCAACTTTGTGTGAAAACAAAAGGGAAGGAATTCAGAATTCAGAAAGCAGGGTTTGAATCTGGGGGCCTTTCCAGACAGGCTGTTATCCCAGGAGCATTCACGTTTAAAAACACGGATGTTCCTGAGGGCCTGTCCATACCCACCCCAGAAAGCACGCGCTTTCTGGGATAGGTTTCCAGATATTCTTCCGGGACTGGTCCAGCAAAACATCTGAAGACCCTCCCCCATAGCCCCCAAAGCCCTGTTAAAATTAAAATAAATTTACTTGGCCTCCATTACAATGTTGCCAGAGCTCTCCCGGCAAGTAGAAATGATACAACTGGGGAGTTGGGGGGCAGGGGTTGCAGCACCCAGTCGGAACAAATCTTGCCAAGAAAATACCATGATTTTCTTTGGAGTGCCATAAATTGGAAATGACTTGAATGCACAAAACGACAACAGAGAATTGTAGAATATTTACATTTCCTGAATTGTCTTCTTCTTGTAGTTTTGCTCTAACAAAACTGACTCGATTGCACAGAACAATGGTAACCAAGATCAGCATTATAATAGAACTGAGACCAGCGACAACCTTCTATTAGAGAAGGTAAGTGGTTTTCTTTACGCTTAAAAAACTTTATGGAATGGTTGAAATATCTGAGGTTAGGTAAAGGTAAAGGTTTTCCCCTGACATTAAGTCTACTCGTGTCTGACTCTGGGGGTTGGTGCTCATCTCAGTTTCTAAGTCGAAGAGCCGTCGTTGTCCATAGATACCTTCAAGGTCATGTAAGCATGACTGCATGGAGCACCGTTATCTGAGGTCATCTGAAATAATTTGAATTCTGTTGCTGCAAATTATGTTCTGTTGCTAGTGTGGGTTAGGGTTACAGGCTACTGTAACCCAACTCCGGTCCAGTTTACCTGTCCGAACGGATTCTCCCCTACGAACCATCAAGGTTGTTAAGATCTTCTGGAGGGGCCCTGCTCTCGGTCCCACCACCTTCACAATCGCGTCTGGTGGGGACGAGAGGCAGGGCCTTCTCGGTGGTGGCCCCTCAGCTGTGGAACTCTCTCCCGATAGAGATCAGATCTGCCCCTTCCCTCCTGACTTTCAGAAAGATGGTAAAATCTTGGCTCTAGAACTTAGCATTCTCAGATTGATGATCGAATCAATAACTGTTGACCACAAGGCAGATGGTGGTGAATTTGTGATTTACCTTGACGAATGGGCTTTATGTAATTCTTGATCTGTATTTTAATGTGTTTTAATGTACTATGATGTTATTATGCTTTAGTTTATTTGTATATTGATTCTCTGTTGTTAGCAGGCCTGAGTTCCTCCTCAGAGGTCAAGAAGACCAGGTTATAAAGCTATAAATAAATAAATAAATAAATAAATAAATAAATAAATAATACTGACAGGAGCAGGGTACAGGGAGCGCACAACTCCCTTGCTGCAGCAGCTCCACTGGCTGCCAATTAGCTTCTGAGCACAATTCAAAGTGCTGGTTTTAACCTATAAATCCCTATGCGGTTACCTGTCCAAACGTATTTTTCCCTATGAATCATCAAGGACATTAAGATCCTCTGGAGAGGCCCTGCTCTCGGTTCCACCACCTTCTCAAGCACGTTTGGTGGGAACGAGAGACAGGGCCTTCTCTGTGGTGGCCCCTCGGCTATGGAACTCTCTCCCGAGTGAGATTAGGTCTGCCTCCTCCCTCTTGTCCTTCAGGAGGCTAGTGAAATCCTGGTTATGGAACGAAGCATTCCCAGAATAATGGCTGAGACTGATTACAGACCAAAGTGAGTGACCACATATGTGAACTGAGTTGAACATGATTTTACCTTGGCGATTTGGTATATATGTATTTTATCTATATATTTTAATCTTGTATTGTTGTATGATGTTTTAACTTGTATTAGTAGCATTGAATTCTTGCTGTAAGCCGGTCTGAGTCCCTCTACAGAGGTGAGAAGATCAGGATATAAAAGTTTTTAATAATAATAATAATAACAACAACAACAACAACAACAACATACAAATCTCACCATTAAATCTAGGAGGAGACAATGGGGAAGAATCCACCACAAAAAAACATGGTCAATTAGTCTATTAATTCACACAGATCAAATTAGCTTCTTCCAGGTTCTGGGTTTCTGACTTCGGGTTCTTTTCACTCTGTTTCCTTTTCATGGTAAGTACAGAATAGGATTGCATACCTATTCATGCATTTGCCTGATGATGCACAAAGCTAAAATCAGGGATGGGAACATGTGCGGCATGTAAGCACTTCCTCCAATGCAGAGTATATATAAACCTCTAAAGAGGCTCTGTAACTGTACAAAGATCTTGTGGGGAGGGTCCTGTTCATTAGAGTTTTTCAACCGAATAAGCCTTTATTGGCATAAATAACAAGACAGTATAAAATACATTATGGATTATAGGGTAGGAAACTTCACATTTGTTACACATTCAGAAGCTTTCAACAACAACAACAACAATTCTTTATTGATTAGTCAATTTTGACCATATCAAAACATGCAAAACATATAAAAACATACACACTTGCCCATACATACAGTAAAACCATATATGAATACAAGGCATCCCGGCCTACTGGCCTGTCAACCCACTCCTAAATGATTGTGCAACTACAAGATTAAAAGATTAAAAATTGATTCATTCCTTAAAGTAGGGTTTGGGCAGGGGCGCGGGTAGGTAAAACTAGTGGCATGTCCATATTGAGTTTTTAAGTTTGAATTTTGTTGATGGCAGCAAGGTTACCTCTCTCTGCTTCCATCTTCTCGCGGATGGCTAGTGCTTTTTGCGTAAAAAGGGTGAATTTTAAAATAGAGTTTTTATCTGAACTCTGTAGGAGGATGTGCAATTTCTCCTTATTCTCTAAATAAGTATGACTCTCCAGCAGAGGCTCTAGGTAGTAAGACCGGATCCTGTTGTAGTAGGGACATTTTAAGAAAAATGTTCTGAGTCCTCCACTTCTGCATCTCCCTCACGACACCCACAGGTTCTCCTCATGTAGGGAATATTCTGATGTCGTCCCAACTTGGACTTAATGTCGAGCTGCTC